AGTTCTGTGGCACAATCCAAAATGCTTGCACTAGAAAGCTTTTTAATTCAGTACCACCCATTATAGTCACCTTGACATTAGAATCACAGAAAAATGTTAATGCAGCTCAAGGACTACTCCCATATCTCTTGCCCAGCCTGTGATTCCACTGCGTTCAATTGGTCTGTGCCTTTTTAAAGACTCTATTTATCATAGAAAACATAGCATTTTATATAAGGTCAAGGTTTTTCTTCCTTTCTTTTCTTTTTTCCTGAGCCCTGTCATGGTGCATAAATATATATTGCAGCACATTCTGGTAAATGAATTCATCATAAACAGTTGCTTGATGGGAACAGACGAGGGCAAGGTGGGAGTAAACGTTGAAGATATAAAAAAAAGAATATCATTACCCTATTGTGAGAGTGTCAATATAATAGTATTTGACAGGATTCAGCCATGTATCTTGCAGAAAAGTCGGAAGGGAAGCAAGTAAATAAAAATATCTCCTGAGGAATAAATGGTTACTTTAAAATAAACACAAGAAAGCCTTTGATCACATGTTTTGAGCAAAGAAAGTCTTGTTGAACAGCTGAATTTCTATAATGGGATAGGAATTTATGGGCATGTAAAGCTGCCTTGCTGAATCAGACTGAAAAGACAAGAAGATGCCTCATAACAGGTCAGACTATTTTCCATCTACCCCAGTATTTTGGGTGCAGCACATCTCCAGTGTCTTCAACAAAGACCTTTCACAGCATATGTCAAATCCTTGTTGTCATTTAGTCGTGTCCGACTCTTCGTGACCCCATGGACCAGAACATGCCAGGCACTCCTGTCTTTCACTGCCTCCCGCAGCTTGGTCAAACTCATGTTGGTAGCTTTGAGAACACTGTCCAACCATCTCGTCCCCTTCTCCCTGTGCCCTCAATCTTTCCCAACATCAGGGTCTTTTCCAGGAAGTCTTTTCTTCTCATGAGGTGGCCAAAGTATTGAAGCCTCAGCTTCAGGATCTGTCCTTCCAGTGAGCACTCAGGGCTGATTTCCTTCAGAATGGAGAGGTTTGATCTTCTTGCAGTCCATGGGACTCTCAAGAGTCTCCTCCAGCACCATAATTCAAAAGCATCAATTCTTTGGCGATCAGCCTTCTTTATGGTCCTGCTCTCACTTCCATACATCACTAATGTCAAATCCTACCACACCCTTTATTTAGAATTGATATGCCAGGGATGGAAACGAAGATTTCGCACAAGGCACACACATTGCCATTGAGCTATATGCTGCATATACACCCTACATTTGAGGCACATGACTTCCCCCAAAATAATCGTGGTAACTATACTACCCCCCTCACAAAGCTACCATTCCCAACACCCTTAACAAACTTCAGCATTTGCAGAAAGATGTACAGTGGTACCTCTGGTAACGTACTTAATTTGTTCCGGAGGTCCGTTCTTAACCTGAAACTGTTCTTAACCTGAAGCACCACTTTAGCTAATGGGGCCTCCTGCTGCTGCCGCACTGCCAGAGCACGATTTCTGTTCTCATCCTGAAGCAAAGTTCTTAACCCGAGGTACTATTTCTGGGTTAGCGGAGTCTGTAACCTGAAGCGTACGTAACCTGAAGCGTATGTAACCCGAGGTACCACTGTACAGTATAATGAAGGTGCCAGGTGTACCTCTGGTAAGGGGGAGGGCACACTGCAGGACTTAGGGGCTGCCACAGAGAATGCCCTCTCTTGGTGGAACTACCAAGAGAGCTCCCATTGTTGATCTTTACACCCAAGAGGGTCTGTACGGAAGGTAAATCTTTCTGATATTTGAGGGGCCCAAGTTGTTTAAACACTGGTGCGAGCACTTTAAATGGCAGCTGATGCAATTATTTTAGAACATGTTAAGAAAGTTCTGGATGGCAACTCCATCCAGTAATCTGATGGCTGCATTTTGAATCAGTAGAAGTTTTTGAGTCATCTTCAAGGGCAGTCCCATGGAGAGTGCACTGTTGTAATCCAGTCTGGAAATTACCAGAGCATGGAGTATTATGGCTAAATCATCTCTGTCCAAAAGAGGTCATATATAGCTGGAGTCCACCAGCTGGAGCTCAAAATAAGTACTCTTTGCCACTGAGGTCACCTTGCCACTGAGGACAATGTTGGATCAAGGAGTACCCCCAAGCTACAAAAACTTCAACCTCAGCCTGCATTTTGTCTACATCCTCAGCCTGCAATACTGATCCAGGACAGATGGAACAGACAGTGCCCTGAATGCCTCCATTGGACTTGCTGTGATTGTGGTAACCAACTCTGTTCAAATCCTGAGAGGTTTGTTGTAAAGTTGCAAAGTTGTCACAGTAAGCTGCTGAGGGTGTCAACTCATGCTGAGGGCAAAACTCATTCACCACAGAAAGGATCTGCCAGATGGCTACTTGCAGAGGAAATGGTGGTGGAAAAGCTTTGTTTGTCACTGCCACTGCCACGTGGCAGGTGCAGTAACGCAACCTCACACGTGTTTGGTGGAGGTTAAGACCAACAGTCTGACTCAGTGTGTTTCATATTTTGAAACATGTAATTTCCCACATGGAGTCTTAAGTGGTACATCTGAGGGAAAACTGCACCAGTATTATTGTGCTGGTCATGTAGGAAAGCCTGTACTTCCGCTTATTGTATTTGACCAATGAATTTATTGATTCAGTACAAGTGTCAGAATATTATAAATCTGAAACAAGAAAATAAAATAATACTGATGGCAGCAGCATGCAGTTGTTGAAGGAAAGAAAGTATGAGATGAGCAACATAAGGGTCAATTTTCACACATATAGGTTTTAAGGTATATCCAATTAAACAGTTTTCCATGGATGACAAAAAAAGATAATGTAATACGTGCTCATGGCAAATGTCTCCTGTTGCGTATAGCCAACAACAGGTGTGGGGAACCGTTTTTCATTCCAAGGGCTGCATCCTTTTACGGCGACCCTTCTAGGAGCTGCATGTCATTGGTGGTTGAATCCAATCACAAGCGTAGATGGAACCAGGGCCGGCCCACCCAAGAGACAAGATTAGGTGACTGCCTCAGGTGGCAGAATCTGCAGGGGCAGCAAATCCAGCCTCCAAGGAATGCCTCACCTGCTGCTGCAGTGCACTTTTTGGAAGCTGCAGTGTCTTTAGTAGCCTCCACTCCCATGCAACAACTACAGCGGCTTGTTTGAAAATGACAGGTGCTGCTGGTGTCCCACCCTTATTCCAGACCCTTGCTCCCGATGTAGATCTTCACTTACCCCTACTTCCCTGGCAGTGAGGGGGGGAACCATTTTGTGGTTCACCTCAGGTGCCAAAATTTCTTGGGCCAGCCCTGGATGGAACAACAGATGTGCTGCTTACCTTCACAGAGTAGACTGCATTCCTGCCACACACAAACCACTCCATCTTCCATCCAGGCAAGCAAGAGGCACTGCCACAATACAAGGACACATTCCAGCCAAGTAAAGCCACTCAATGAGAAGAGGAGGAGTTTGGACTTGATATCCAGCCTTTTATTCCCCTTAAAATTGGCTCCTGCCATTGGATGGAGCTGGGTCTTCCATTGCAGTGGAGCCCCTCCAACCAGTGGTGTTTCTCTCCACTTATGGAGGCCAGCAGAGTAGCAGCTATGCACCACCCTAACCTCTCAGCAATCAACGTGTGTGTGTGTGTGTGTGTGTGAGAGAGAGAGAGAGAGAGAGAGAGACTCTGTGCTTTAACGCAGTGGCTCCCAATTGGTGATCCATGTACCTCAGAGGGTCTACGTAATCCATCCAGGGGGTTCATGGCACCATTCACATAAAAAAAACTACCATAGAAGAAGAAGAGGAGGAGGAGGAGGAGGAGTTTGGATTTGATATCCCTCTTTATCACTACCCTAAGGAGTGTCAAAGCGGTTAACAATCTCCTTTCCCTTCCTCCCCCACAACAAACACTCTGAGGTGAGTGAGGCTGAGAGACTTCAAAGAAGTGTGACTAGCCCAAGGTCACCCAGCAGCTGCATGTGGAGGAGCAGGGAAGTGAACCTGGTTCACCAGATTACAAGTCCACCGCTCTGAACCACTATACCACACTGGCTCCCATGAGATCACAGAGCAGTGTGGCCTGGGGAGAGGACACAACCTAGAGAGAATCTCAGGGGCTGGCTAGAAAGGCCCTGAAGGGCTGCATTTGCCCCCCCAAGCCTGAAGCTCTCCTCCGCTTTCTTGCAGGTGCACAGCTATCCCTTCTATACAAATACACATTTGCTACCTTGAAAACTGTGGAGCAGCCTTAAGAAGCTTGGGGCCTTGTAAATTTAACCTGAAGGAAGTGTAAAAAATTATTATGTGGAAAAAAACAATGGTTAATGACTCAGAGAAAAGCCTCAATTCTAAAGACATTTTGGGCCAACATTAATAATAAGCAAATCTGTCAGCCTTTTCTAATGTGTTTTTGTTGTTTTGCAGGTGATTTTATGATTCAAAAATTTCCCTAGGCATCATTGTAAAGGGACATGAATCCAAATAAAATTAACTGCGTAAAAAACAGGACCTTCATTCCACACAAAAAATGACTGTTGTTTTGACTTACCTTCACTGTTTAGTTCTAGCTGAGGGACAAAATTTGTGTTACTTTGCAGCATGACCCTTTTAACTTTGCCAAGTGAGCGAGGTAAATTTTCAGATAAATTGGAAGGACTAGATAACACAGGCATCCCCAGCCTGCAGCCCTCCAGATGTTTTGGCCTACAACTCCCATGATCCCTAGCTAACAGGACCAGTGGTCAGGGATGATGGGAATTGTAGTCCAAAACATCTGGAGGGCCGAAGGTTGGGGGTGCCTGAAATAACACTTCAGATCATCCTTCCTTGATTTGATGCTCTCCAGACTTTTGTGTGACCTTGTCATTCCTGACCCCTGTCCATGCTGGTTGGGACCGATGGGAGTTGTAGTCATAGACTCATACAGCTGGAAGGGACCCTGAGGATCATCTAGTCCGACCGCCTGCAATACAGGAATATGCAGCTGTCCTATACAGCGATCTAACCTGCAACCTTGGCATTATCAGTGCCACAGTCTAACCAACTGAGCTATCCCAAGATCTGTAAGGCACCAGGATGTGGAAGGCTGTTTATATTGTTACAATACTGATCATGGCTATCAGAATCATTGGAACAATAAATGATTTGCTGGACTAGATGGGCGATTGGCCTGATCCAGCAGGCTCTTCTTATGTTCTTATACAGAACTGCATCACAAAATGTGAATGAGTGTAGTGTTTCACTTTGCTTATTTTTTCAGAAATTGCAGAATTGAAAGATTTGGCTTTAAATGTGAACTGAACCAAACTTCTTTCCCATCCCTAGACAGGGGTCTTGTACATCACCTGGTATGTGTTTGTTTTGTGCAGGACTGAATCTGGGACCTTGTGCAAAGTATGTGCTCTGCTACTGAGCAAGAGTATCCTTTTGAAGCTGCCTGATACCAGTTCAGACAATTGTCCATAGTATGTCTACTGGCAGGCAGCAGTTCTTGGATATCTCAGAAAGAGATCTTTCTCATCACTTGTTACCTGATATTCTTTATACTTGCCAGGGAAGGTAAACTGCCATAGAATTTATTGCATTCACAAACCAAAGCACACAAGTTTCTATTATTTCTTTAACACCAAGCAAAGTGCAAACATTAGTGCAATTCAAAGAAGGGGAAAAGTAGTATTGTATGTTGGTTCTACAATGAACTACTTGTAGTTGATGATTAACAAGAGGCTTCTTACAAACACCTGAAGAATAAATTGTCATATGTAGATCAACATATCTGCAGAAGAGTAGAAGGTTTAGGCAATTTCCCTATATAGAATAATACAATTTGAGTAACAAACTGGAAAATCCAGTTTAGAGTTTTCCTGCTGTTTCTACCCCAAAAGCATTTTAAAATCTATACAAATGTCATGTGCATCTCATTTTAGTTAGTATGGTGTACAACATCTGGGCAAAACTGTTTTTTTAAAATGAAATGTTTCCATAAATAATTAGCTCCTCAATAAAGATTGCCTTGGATGTAGTTGAAGACACCATTTGCAATTCACACCTGATTTGCTTTCTAATTAAACACTGCTTACAACAGTCAAATAATTAAGAAAACAATGTTCAGCTCTCTTGTACAAGTACCCAAAAATGATATGTGGTGCTTTCCTGTCTCCTAGACATTGATAGTACTTTTCATAGTCTCAAAATTGTTATACAGCGTGTTCTCCTTCATGGAGAGCACATGTTGCGGTGGGGTCTGCTGAGCCACCCCTCTGTTACCAGGCAGGGTCTCTAAAGATGGCCTGGGGCAGTGATTGGTTCACTGGGTTGCTGGGGTAAAAGTTATGTTGCAATTTTGGTGGGAGGGGTAAAATGTTTAAATACTCTGCACGCAGCCTGGAGCTTTCTCTTTGCTGCGTGCAACAGATCACCCGCCCACCCGCCCTTGAGTAAGGGGTTGTTGCATTGACCTTGCTATGCCTGTCATGGGGTCATCTGCCGTTTGGGCAGGGGCCTGGTAGGAATTTTGTCCATCTGGCTGATTGGCTGGGCCATTTGGTTTTTGCCTACTGCATAGCAAATCGTCACAACTTGTAAGGTTGCGGTTAGGCATTGGTTATAAATTGGTGGAGGAGGGGTTAGGATAGGCTGGGCCTGCCCCTCCATGGTTGCTGCGGAAAGGGAATTCCGTTAAAGGAATCCTGGGGCTTGCCATCTTTTCGTCCAATCCCTGGAATGGGACTAGGGCCGGCAAGCCTTCGGGGAGCATGCGGATGAGAATTGAGGGTCTGTGACTCAGCTCCATTTCTCTCCGACTTGCTTTCCACCGCACTGTCTTTCGGTGGTGCCCGGAAGTCAGTTCTGTCCCCAGGCGGGGGACAGATAGTCTTAACCAATGCCTAAACAACCACTCACGGTTTTGTATTTAAATAAAGTTGTGGCCAAAATTATGCCAAAAACCTTAAACAAAAATTAAGTGTGCGTTGTGAGTTATTTGGGGGGTGGCTTGGGGACCTCGACACGCAAATCATTTCCCGCTTGAAGAGTTGAAGGCAAAGAGTTCCAAAGAACAAATGAACCCATTTTAAAGCCTTAATTGAGGCTTCTTTTCAAGTTCTCAGTAGAAGAAGAAGAAGAAGAAGAAGAAGAAGAAGAAGAAGAAGAAGAAGAAGAAGAAGAGTTTGGATTTGATATCCTGCCTTTCACTCCCTTTAAGGAGTCTCGAAGTGGCTAACATTCTCCTTTCCCTTCCTCCCCCACAACAAACACTCTGTGAGGTGAGTGGGGCTGAGAGACTTCAAAGAAGTGTGACTAGCCCAAGTCACCCAGCAGCTGCATGTGGAGGAGTGGGGACGCGAACCCGGTTCCCCAGATTACGAGACTACCGCTCTTAACCACTACACCACACTGGCTATCAGTAACTTCATTCATATGCTAATCACTGGTTAAAACAAGATATGCCCCAAATGAAATTCTATTGATATACTAGATTTTCCTAGGTTTTGGGTTCCTTGCCCATTCAGCTGCTGCCTGCCTTATTCATAGTGGGAGTTTTAATTCTGTTTACTGGCACAGTATAAATGACTGCAATGCCTGTGCCATGGGCCCTTCCAGACGGCTGCTATTTTCAAGTGAGATTCAATCTCATATTGGCAAATTCAGGTTCCACAATTATAGCTGACTGGGAGGTCAACAAACCCGCTTTCCAAAAGACCAGACTTTTGGTGCACAGGGGTGGTTTGTTTGTCTGTCTGTCTGTTTGTTTGTTTGTTTGTTTGTTTGTTTGTTTGTCTCTATTCAGACTGCAGCTCCACACTTCGTGAGTCCAGAAATACCTTACCATGTGATTCTATTAGCACACAATGGAGCAGGTTCCCATCTTTCTAATATTGCTTCCTTGGTTGCATAGTCACACCTAGGTTCCATTTCTTGGTCATTACTAGAGTGTTGTAGATTCCTGCACACTAAGATAGACAGGTAGATAAGATATATTGTACTGTAATGGGGTTATTGGTTTTGTTTGTTAGTATGCTATGTATTCTTGTGTTTTATATATCCCTGTGATCCTCAAATGAAGGGTGGTATAGAATTATTATTTCATCCCAAGTAGCTGAAGCAAAATCACTTCCCTTATTGCATGTGGTGGTTAACACAGATTACTCTTTAAATATTCAAGGGATACTTGGCACTGTTTCTTGTATTTGCACTTCCATCATACACATTCATGGTTTCCAAAATCTGCCTCTGGATCCGAAAGCTGACTCACTGCTGAGCAATGCATAAACACTCCTGCAAAGTGTCTCCTGAAGGTCAAAGGGAAAGCTTTCCATTCTTCACATCCTTCCACCACCATCACGCTGCCACCCCTCACCCCACCCCCGCCGCCCCATATCAAATCAAGCAGCACTTCTCTTAATCCTTATCAGCAAGACAAAAAGTTATAGCAGAGAGCAATGGACCAGAATTTCACACTCCATTTACACAATAACTCAGAGAGCCACTAATGTGGTACTTGCTTCCCTGCTCCCCTCCCCACTTCAGCAGACATCTCTGCAGTCATCATGAAAATGCATTCTGGCGCTGCTCCCAGGGCAACTTAACTATTTATGACAGCTTGTCTTGAAGTGCCTACTACATGAACATTAGGATGTCCACGGCAATCTGCAAATTGACCCATCCACATGGCATTTGGGATCAGATGGAAAGAGCTTTCATAATGTGATGAAAGTTAGGGTGGATGTCATTTTTAATTCATCTGTTTTCCACCCCAAGCTCAGGCAAGCAGCAGTGGTGATTTGTTATATCAGATCCTTTGGCCAGGGTTATGTCAAGTTGTGAAATCTCCCATATTAACAGATGCTAATGACCCGAGTTGGGTTTAGGCTATTTTTATTACACACTCAATCAGGCAATAAACTACCAATACAAACTCCCATCCGGCACATGCCACCTCCCTCCCGGGCAATAAACCTGTCGTGCCAGACCAGCCTGTTTGTTTACTGGTTGCTCACTCGTTGGAGAAATGGATGACAGGTGGAGGCAGGGGCGTGTGGACGTTTTGTGACAGCCTTTGTTTTATAATGCTCCAAGGGCTGCAGATGCATTCACCCTTCAGGTTTTATTTATTTTTTCCTGGTGCTTTTTTATTTTTAAGATAGTCAGTTTTAGATAAATAGGGTGATCTACAGATAGCAACAGCGAGGAAAAAACCAAAACACACAAACACACACACACAGCAAACCTTACCTGGTTTCTGTCTTCATCTTCTCTGACTGGATTGAGTCGTGTGCATGAGAAACAGAACTTCGTGACTAGAATCAGAGAGATCTACTCAAGAATTTTCATTTTCATTTTTCTCCGGCTGACTCAAATCATGTCCTCGGGAAACGTCTTTCAACATTCTGTATCTAGTGGACATTGACATTTTACTTGGAGGACTTTTTAAAGGTTTAATCCACTCTCATTTGTCAAGTTGCTTGAGCTCTTTGGGCCCCCTTTAACCTTTCAGTTCCATTGGCTGGCACAGAAAACCTATGCTTTCCAGTGCTGTTATGAAATCAATAATAATAAGCAGGGTAGCCAGCAGATCAATGAATTTTGCCTGATTCAATATTTGCCCTTTAACCAATTAATCAATAGCTTATTGAAAAAATCGCAACTTTGCTGACTTTTTGAGATGCTGTGTGTGGTAAATTAAAAGGAAAAAAACAGAAAAAACAAGGTTTATTGTGGGAGAAGTTTTTATGGAATAGAACTGAATTCATAGGAAGGCTCTATCTAGCATTCAGGTGTCAAGCCACAAGCCAACCACCAGGCCCTCCAGCACCCCTGCTTCACCCCTCCCTTTCTCCATCACAGTTAGAAGTGGAAAAACTCCTGAAGCTGATAGAAGACTTTATATGAGCCTGACTGCTGCTTAGAGGAGGAGTGACAGCTGGGGAAGGAAGGTTAACATCGCAAAATTTGGAGAAGTGTGAATTTTGAAGGCTAGATGTTTCAGTTTGCATATTGTTTTGGAATAGTGATATATGCTTTATTTTGTCTTATATGTTATCTTTATCAATGTATGCATTTTATACACA